ACTCGTGCATCGGTCTCTCAGTTTACAACTCGCTGTCCGAGTACACTTCAAATTAACTCTTCCCACCCGCCACACCCCAATGTTATTATGATTTATAAATATGTTGTGATTTATAAATTTGTTGTACTTTTTGTACTGTCAGTATAAATAATGAAATTGGTTTATTTTATAAGTTCGTGCTAAAAGGTTTTTTACGCATTAGTACATATGATTTTTCAAAGTTTGAATTACTGATAAATAGTCAAATTATCTTTCCAAGATAAAATCATTTGTAAGAATGGTTGGTGAACAATTTAACTGTTTTCTGGTAGTTCTTATATTACAGATACTTCCATGGCACTGACACTTTGACAAGGCGATCCTTCTGCACGATCAGTCAATGTAAAGCAATCTACACAATGTACCTCTCGACGGAAAACCATACTTTGCAATAAGGGAGAAGACCAAACTTCAGGGATCGTCAATGTTTAGACTGTAACTGTATCTGTGTATTGTTTTCTCCTAATATGTTTCATTTAATCGCGGGTTACATGTGTTTTTGTGTAGAGCTGAGAGACTCTAATAGTGACATGGAAGTTGTTTAGTGCCGGAAGTATAGTGAACATTTTACATTAATTTTAAATCGTGAAGATGTTATGAAGTTGCTTTGATTCTATACATGTGTTATTTGTTTGTACCTCTTAGAATCAAGTATACAATGTCACTCATATTATGCCTGGGAAAAAAAAATTATGTCGATCGGGAGGCGGCCGTCTGGTTAACAATCTTGTCTACGGTCTTAACTATTACCGTGTATTTAATCAGCGTTAATATTATAAATTTATATCTTTGGCGTTTAAACTTCTAAATTGTTTGTGTCTGGTAAAGTAGGTCAGTGTATGTGTCGGTATTAAGTGTGACACAGTGTATGTGTCGGATAAAGTATGACACAGTGTATGTGTCGGTATAAAGTGTGACACAGTGTATGTGTCGGTATAATGTGTGACACAAGTGTTTTGTGTCAGGTAACCAGATATTGCTCTAGTGCTTTGGTAATATCTGTGTGTTTGTAATCGGTATTCGTACTTCAGGCTCCGTGATGCTTCTGGTAGTTTTCATTATTTTACGGTTATCGGTAGGATAATGGAAGGTATCAGTGGTTGTCAGCTGGTCCGTGTTGATGTACTATTATTTTGGCTCCGTGGCTTTGCCGGTACCCGATATTATTATATGGTTATCCGTACGATAATGGAAGGTGTCGGTCTTTGTCAATTAGTTCGTATTGGTATATCAATAAGACACTGGTAAACATAAGTGACTAGTATTCTGTTAATGTTTGGCAATCTGTTGGTCAATTAATATGACTAACATTTTCGTTCTAGCCTCCTTCCGGTCGGCATACGTTTTTTCCCAAACTAAAACCACGTTGGTTATCCACGTTGGTTTTTCTCGAGTGGCCATAATTTCCCAAAACATAAATACAAACTTGAATTTATTTTCTAAATAGTAAACATTTTATAAATGTACCATGTTGTTGTTTTCTCTTTTTCTGGTAACAAAATAAACATATATACCTGTCTGTAAACATAAGAATCAAGTCACTCCTGTCTTTATACTGGGACAGTTCTTCTTTCAATATATTGATCTTATGACCCCCGCCAGTGTTGGTCATGTCCCCACCACGCCAATCCAAACCTAAACCAAAGACCTGCAGAGAAATAATAGCTCACAATTATTTCTTATCTCATATACAACAGAGCAAATTCCTGAAATATCAAATTCCTTTGATAAATCTATTATTAATTTCTGACCTCTTTACATAAACTTAAGAATGACAATACCAGACATATACAACTTATAATATAAACTATAGACTGGTACACTTTATTATTTGGAAAAATATTCTCGATTTTATATAATCCTAAAGGTAAAAGATTTATATGTGATTGTAAAGATATAAATTTACATATGGATTAAAGGGGTTTCTTAGCTCATATAATCAGTAACAGAACAGGAAAATATAAAATATTGGTTATTCTTTGGCAAATTAAATTTATTACATATTGACTGTTCATCACTGTATTGTTATTTTAGTTAAATTATACAAATTAAATTTAGTTTGATTGTGCTGGAAGCTATAAGCTTATTGAAACACTCTCAAATCCATTTCCTGGAATCACCCAGTACTAGCAATGAGTGTAAAGCCTCTTGTTCAAGAAAAGCAACAGCTTGTCCTAGATTGGGTTTGATCCCAGCAAGTTTATTTTATACTACATGGTATAGTGTACTATACAAAATCTTTACTGTATAGTGTACTATAGCTAATGTAACAGTGCATAGTACTTAAAATTCACTGCATACCAGCAATAGTTAGTTATTAATAAAATAGAAAGTCTTTGGTACAATGTTGTTTTGTCATATTGAATGTAAGGGGAAAAAACCCACTTCAAATGTAACTGAGTCATATATAAAATCTACATGTTTGTTAAGTTTTCATGAATGACATATGTGTGTTACTGGAGTGGATATATTATATAAATAACATTCTGAAACCAAAATTTCTAGGTGGATATATTATAAATAGCATTCTGAAACAATCAAACTATTCTTACTTTACTTGATTTACATTTTACCTTATATAATAAATATAGAATGTTATAATGAATTTACCTTTGTTTCCAAGTCATACTTCTTTGTACTTCTTATATATCTTCTTAACCCATCATTTTCTTCTGTTGCTATGGTCACAAGTAGCAGTTCTTGAAAAAAGAAAAACAAATTCATACACTCAAACTATGAATTCAATTAACAAGAGTTTTCGGGGGAGACAGCAGGCTTCACTAATCAAATATTGTACACAGTGAAGGAAGACAAAACTTTGAAAAAACGAAAGAAAATAATTGGGAGTAAAACATCTTGGGAGTAAAACATCTTGGGAGTGAACTGTCTTGGGAGTGAACTGTCTTGGGAGTAAAACCTCACAATAGTAAAAAGTCTTGGGAGTGAAAGGTCTGGCATCAGTCCCCTCACCCGGGTTTCTTCATAGATTTTAAATGAAAAATACGACAGATATTAAAACATTGTATAATTATTATATGTGTTGTATTTTATTTATGGAAACTACACTTCCCTTCATAGAGAGTAATGGGTAATTTCAATACCCCGTATCAGGCCTCATTACGTAAAGTTTTTCTATATTAAGAACATATTTCGACTTCCATAATTTGTGTGACAAGCCAAATATTGATGTGTAACAATCAATAATTTTGTTGATGAGCATATTAAATCATAGTTGTTAAGTAACTACTATTTTTTTATGCCTAATGGGAAATACTTGCATGCCAGTATACTGCTGTACCTGGAGGATAATTTAACTGGAAGTGGTTAAAATGCCCGATCGGGCTTATCACATAAAAGTCATATAATTAATTAATATGCTTCTTTCAAACTTTTGTTTATTAAAACATAATATAAGATACTTCATTTGTCGCATGATTTTTTTCGCGGACTTCTGCTAATTTCAAACACTATATATTTTGACAATTATTTAACACTGAACAGATTTTAATTTGAAGATTTCTCTGAAAACTGATAAATTGTATGCTGACAGGTGTTGACGCAATGAATTTAAGAACATAAAGAAGTTATTTTACTAAATTTTTTTTAGTTCTTTGCATATATATGTAGCTTATTTTTTAAGACTTCAAAAATTATGTGTTTATATATGAAAACATGAACAGGGAGAAATAATTCTCACAAAGGTGCTAGTAAACAAATATTTAATTTCTTTCTGTTGATGTCATATATTATGCTCAAAAATAATTTCATCACTATAGGAGATTTCTGTAAATATAAACAAAGAAGGCCCGAAGCATGCTATTATTAGCCTATACTTCACATCAATTAGAGTGGTTGGACCAATGCTCGGCGCATACCAATGCCCGGCGTAAAGAATATTTTTTTAGAATATCTGAAAATGTCTCGAGTTATCTCCGATTTAGGTCACTGGTGCTTTTATTTACGTCTTTCACCATTTTATCCTGGTGTGGTTCACTGCTGGTAAAGTCGCGTGAATATGCTAATAGCAGACAAACAACCGTATGTAATCCGCAACATATAAATTATTAAAATCTTTTAACACTAGAGTTCTGGCGCTGTAAAATTTAAATTTAAGGTTGGGTACTTGTAAATGTATGAACCTAATTTGGTTGTTACAATTTATTCAATGTGTTTTCTTCATAAGATAAAAAAGAGATTTTATTCGAAAAACAATCCTGCATCATGTAGTACACGAGCTATGGTACAATTTCACGCAAACCACTCTTGTTTATCCGGACTATAGACCTTTTCGAAAACCTAGCTAAACACCGTTTTCCGGTACGTTACCGTTTTAGCTCTGGGGAATTACACCAAATGAAGTACATAACACAGTTACGAGCTATGTCTATTTTTCTATCATTATTTAACCGTTAAGGTGAAAAAAATTGAAGTTTTTGAAAATTATCAATATTCGTTTAATATCTATTGCAAATTATTCAAAAAAATAAATTGTTTATAATGAAAATCAATAAAATTCAACAGACGTAGTGGAATCTTCCATACTAAATAAGATTATTTTCTGCGTAAACTTGCATATTTACTTTATTTTATGTATGGAAATATTCATACAATGATATTTAATTATTTTCTTATAAAGAAATAACTGTTTTATTTCAGTTTAATTTTAAAAAAGGCCGAAAACATTGAGTTCGCTATTACACTCCATTTGGTGAATTCCCCAGAGCTATGTACAGAAAGTACCGGAAAACGGCGTTTAGCAAGGTTTTCGAATTCGTGAATCTATTATATATATAATATAAGTTCCAGCCATGCACATCATTATGTGATTAGCGAATTTTACACAATGGCTATTTAAAACAATATCATCGGTCTTGAAAATGGACATATAACATTGAGGTTTGTTGACGTTGATTTGAATTTGCCATATCAAATATAGTATTTTTACCCCGAGCGTTGGTCCACCCACTCTATTTAACTCCCATTCTTATTTCCTCCCTCTGTATTTTCAAAATGACACATTGACGGCGCCATTGTGTTTGTTTTGTTTTTATATTCTTTTAAGTTCTTTGTTGTTTCTTTAACGTCTTTATTTGATTTTTGGTCTCATTATTATCTTTGTGATAGAAAAACATTTATCCTAAGTCAGAAATGAATTATAAGTCCATTCCCATTACACAATATACTAATATATAGTTTGTATATTAGTATGAATTTACATTCATTTTACATATACATGTTAGTTGTCACGTAGCATCAACTTTGTACACTGTTCTATTTAGTCTGTCTATGGCAGTGACTATAGAAGAGAATCTACAGTATTTTCCCAAACTCAATAATGCAAATCAAATGTCATAAATTTATAAAATAATAGCGAGCTCGACGAGCTGGCCCGAAGGGCCTGCTCGCAAAGCGAGCTTTACGGTAACGCGAATACCTGCTAAGTGATGGTTTTGAAAACTTTCGTCCAAAGTACCGAATTGGACACATCGCAACCTTTCGAATTTAAAGGTAACGATAAAAACTGAGGAATTCTGACTGAAAACGGATGTGTAGACTGGTCACCCGCGCACGTTTATTGGACAGGGAACCAGAATAACGGAAGCTGTGATTAAAATAGAAAATCGAAGGTGCCATTTTGTTTAAAATCTGATAAATAAAAACAATTTTTTTGTCGAATTTTGTTGTGAAAACTATCTAGAATGAAAGAAAATGGTCTAACTAAGAAAATGAATCCGAACACCAATATCTTTTATTCAGTCGTTAACGCTGTACAGACGTTTAAAGTATTGTTTACGTGACGTCACAATGTAGCGCCAAACAGCACGTGCAAAACAAACAAATCAAGTACGCTATTTTAATGTCGCAAACGTTTTAAGTTTAACATTTATTTCACTTTAAATAATCTTTATTTCGCTTGAAAAATTATAGAGTGAAATAAAATAAACAAAGTTTTATCAACAATTTCAAAGCTCGTTATTCTTTTCACGACAGGGGCGGAGCCATATTTAACACCAATCTCCTACGCAGTGATCTCCCCTTATCAGTACAATTCTGCCAAGGGAGGTAATCAGTGTGAGGAGTTTGATTTAACACAGGGCTGTGACTAAAATAAAGTTTCCTTTTAAAAGGAAAGGCTTGCACAGTTGTGCCTTCATCCCAACATATTTATTTGTTTTTATTTTTGTAAAAACGAATATTTTTGTCAAAACGATTTGAAATCTATTCTCTATTGTATAAAACTAATAAAGAAAATAATCAATCGTAAAATACTAACGTGAAGATCTATCATACTGAAAGGAAACAAGTGTGCACATTTCATTTAATTAATAAGCATGTTCCCAGATACGATGCGCTATCTTATAAATCATCACGTGGTAAGGTTAATGATATGCATGGGCTATTTTTAGATTACCTCACCAAGTTCAGTAGATCTAAATATAACTCGATCATGCACTGTGTGATTTGGACCACCCTTTGAAGACGGAATACTACTACAGTCAACATCCTCTATTGTGTAAAACTAATACAGACACAAAACAATTATAAAAGAAACTAACTTTTGCGTCTTGAAAAAGAATTGAAACGGAACAATTTCGTTTATAATTTATTACGGTTTAAATCAATAAATCAAGTAAAAATACGAATCCTATTTATATAGACAAACTGGGATTACCGAAGTAACTAAAATAGCTTAGATTTCCATAATATTACTTCGTCTGATTCCACAGTATGACGGAATCGCCCGAATTGTCACGATTGCAATCGGAAGTACATTGGCTATTATCATTAATCCGAAGAGTGACGGAAAAGGCCGAAAAGTTGCGATTGGCACGATTTCAGCTGGTTTCCCGTTCAATCATGCACTTATAAATGTAAGCAGAAAACCACCTAACCGGAACAGGTTTTCCAAATGAAATGGCAAGCCAACAAAAAGGATTGGAGCACCACACTAAATACCGTATCCCGGTATATACCGGACAAGGCGCTTGAATGATAAAATGCTAAAATCTTGTCTTTTTACCCAACGGAATGAACTTTAACAGGTCTAATTCATCTTTTCACAACGAAATCAAGTACGATAATCAAGGAAAAATGTAAAATTCGGCGAAAAAAACGATATTTGTCTATTTTGTGATCATGATTTCTGCAAGCGTCTAGAGGTACTGCTCCAATCCTGTATTGAGCTAAATCCTTAACACAGTACGTGTGCCGTCACACGCACTCGTTACTGCATTTGAAATAAAAATAAGCGATTATTGGGATTATTCATACTATTTCACGTAAAAAGTACATCGAGCTCGCTTTGAGGCTTTGCCTTTTTCATATTAATACTTTACATATTGTAACTCATCAAGTAAATATGGAATATATTTACCTTTGTTATCCTTTTCAAAACAAAAACTTGGAATCGTTGTAGAAATCAGCATCAACAGATGCAAAAGAATTCTAGCCATCTTTTGTGAATTTAACAGTGTGTAGATTCTACTGAATAATTCCTTCAAAATCGCAATGTAAAATAAATCAATAGCGTTAAAATTGATAAAGAATGCGTTTTTTCTTCTCTCTCTTACTGCCACATCACTAACTCCTTTTTATAAGAAACACTGTGAAATTTGATAGTGTTTGACATTTGACCCCCCATCTAAATCGGTTTTTGGCAGATTGGTTTTCGATTTACGGGTACGTTACGATACCGAAATCAACTTGATTTCGGTAAAGTTACCGAAATCAACTTTTCATTACCGAAATCAACTCGTAAAAACCAAACTAGTTAAAATATTGGTATTATTTCTTCATTATTTGATGAAAAATAATGAAATAGACTTTCAGTTAAAAAATCTATTGAAAATATTTTATTTTAATGATGTTATTAACAAAAATGTCATTATTGAGTTACTTCCCTTTGTTCTAAACAACCCGTTATGTGTTTAGCATTACCGAAATCAGCTGTGAAGTTTAAATTATGTATATAATTAGTAGATAATAGATTAGATAACTCTAGTAGAGCTCTATTTTATAGACATATTTCTGTTTTTAAGTTTCAACCATATCTAAATATTATCAATGTTGAACGGTTTTGTAAAGATCTCACTAGGTTAAGAGTATCATCTCATAGACTGCACATAGAATCAGGTATATGAACTAAACCAAATAGTACACCTTTAAATGATAGAAAATGTTTTTCATGTAATGTCTTAGAAGACGAATACCATTTCATATTAGAATGCAATGTATATAATGATTTAAGAAAATGTCTGATACCGCCATATTAGCATGTTATATATCTGCACGTGATTGTCGTGCATAACAATTTTCTAATCAAATCGTATTTTTAAAAAGCTATGATTGGACTATGATGGAAAAATAAAATACTCTGTAATATGAGTTAAAGATATTTATAAATTTTGTACATGTTTATGTTTTATGAAGAAAAAATATCCAACTTCAACCGGAAGTTTATGATTTTCTGTTATAAATTTGAATACAGATATATAATTCGACTGCTCTAAAAATTGTATAATGTATCAGGCAGTAAAATTGGAAATTGGAAAGTTTGTGTCTTTCTTTTATTGAACAGTTAAACTATATATTAACAAATCGCTAACATATGTTATGGGGACTCTTTATCATAATATTTTTAAATTTTAGTCATTTATTTAAATGTTTATGACGACATAAACAGATGGTTCATTATAATCTTTTATCTTTAACATACACTGTATGCTAACTGTACCTCCTGTCTAAATTACTTCACACCTTACTTAATACAGTTATACACAACATGTCAAATCATACAAGTTACAACATTTCATAATTGAAATTTGTCAGTATAAAGTGTTCCATTTTTTCCATCATATAAATATATACCAGTCATTCCATTTATGCTGTTTACAGATATGAAATTAAAATTGATTTTAAATCGATTCACATAAAATCATGACTTAACACTTTTTCAATAAGTAGAATATGTAGTTAAGTATCCAGGACATCAAAAATTGCATACATTTTTGGAACAACTGATATGCAATTTGGTAATAATAATATCAAAGCACCTTGTCTCATATACCGAAATGTTTTCTACGGAAACGTATCGCGATCAATTCAATATAAAATTATATTTTTACCAGCTTACTAGATCTGAAATATTTATACTATAAAACTATAAAAAAAAAAGTCTTTTGATACATATTATATAGGGATGGTCGCTATACTTCATTTTATATTAAACTGTAATGTACTTTTTGTCTTAATGGAGACAAGCAGCTTTAATTTCATGTAAAATAATTATGTCTAATTATGTTGTTTGGATACTTTAAAGTTTCCTTGCGCCGATGTATATTTTAATATATTAAAGAATTGCGGTGAACGAGTATGTTATGTCAACTAACACCTCCATTGTCCGAGCACGTGTATGCTTGCTCCTTTTTAGTAAAGGTGTTAAGATGAATGGCTACCGCTACGTCTTTTTATCTTAACCAAATCATAATCATTGGATTTAAATTAAATACTGTGATAATTTCCAATCAACTATTTCTGAAATTCATGCAAATTATTTAGGGGTTGTTCTCATCTTTGAAATGAAATCTGATTTGATTTCGGTAATGCAACACATTAATAACAAGGGAAGTAATCATGATATAATATACATATCTGTCTATAACATCATCATTTTTATAATTAAATATTATTTTCCTTTGTTTATCGATTTATTCAGGGAATAGGCATATATTTTATGGTTCAGTTTGAATGACTTTATATTAATTAATTAAACAAGATCTATTGAAATGTTTATTTTAACTTTTACAAGCCGATTTCGGTATGGTAACATATATTTCGGTTCGTGACAAATCAGGGGAGTAATCTTGATATTTAGTTATTTGTTTCTAATTTCATTATAAATAATTATTTCGAACTGATTTTTTGCATGAAAGTCAAACTAAACCTATTGTAATAGATTATAATGAAAAAAATATAATAGAACGCTTAATTATGATTTTACAAGTCGATTTCGGTATTGTAACATATATTTCGGTTCGCGACAAATCAGGGAATAATCTTGATATTTAGTTATTTGTTTCTAATTTCATTATTAATAATTATTTCGAACTGATTTTTTGCATGAAAGTCAAACTTAACCTATTGTAATATATTATAATGAAAAAAATAAAATGAAACGCTTAATTGTGATTTTATAAGTTGATTTCGGTAATGAAAAGTTGATTTCGGTAACTTTACCGAAATCAAGTTGATTTCGGTATCGTAACGTACCGTTCGATTTACCTTATAAATTCTCGCGCTTGCGCAATTGCTGGGAACCAACATGGGTTAACGGCGTGATATTCCGAAATTAGATTATATCAAACTGTTCCCAAGTCAATTCGACCCAAATTTTGCTTCACCTTCGGTAAAATTATTATTACTTGTCAGAGGGAAGTTGACCTTAATTTGTCTATTTGTTCTCTTTTGATACATTTAATATTAGTCAATATGAATAAAAATATTAATTAAAATGAAATTTAACGAATAAATGAATAGAAAACAAAGAAATGAATTTATTTCATGCTTTCCAGTGTTTTACTGTGATTATATTCTGATAAACATCAAGTGAAATTCGTAAAATATAATTTTCACTGTAGCTGGACTAAATCTGAATGCGGATGAAAAGAATATCATAACTAAATGGAATTACAGGCAATAATTAATTTAATGACGTCATACTAAATTTTGCTTCTTTCAGAAAAGATGTGATCATACATCATGTTAAAAATGTAAAAAAATGAACAATATTTGAGCCGTGTAATGACAAAACCAACATAATGGGTTTGCGACCAGCATTGATCAAGACCAGCCAGTGCATCCGCGCAGTCTGATCAGGATCCTTGTTGTTCGCTTATCAACCCTTTAACAAGTCGAGAAATTGATAGCGAACAGCATGGATACTGATCAGACTGCGCGGATGCACATACTGGTCTGGATCCATGCTGGTCGCAAACCCATTATGTTGGTTTTGTCGTGACACGGCTCATTTCAAAATTGATGATGCGACGCCATGATGTGATGACGTCTCAAAGTAGAATGCGCGACGTTACGCAGCAAAATCAGTAAAAATACTTGAAATCACTTAAAAAGAATGAATTAAAAAGAAAATTTATTTGTTTTACATATACGATTGAAATATATTTCATTCGTGAACAACAGATATTCTATTTTCAGGAGTAGCGTAGTCATTTCAAGCTTATATGCAAAACAAACAAATATCCTCTGTAAATTTACTATGTAAATCTACTTATAAATGAAATATTGAGGAATATAAATCCGTGTATGTACTAATAGTGGAGCGGGAAATAAGGTCTCTCCTGTCAAAATAGTGCAAATTGTGATACAAGCACGAAACATTCAGGAAATCATCTTTACACTATAGAGATTCCAAAAGTGAAGTGACCTTAATCCTAAATTACTAAGTACTTTCACGCATGCGCACTCATATTAATATTGTTTGATAATAAATATTTTCTGAGAGCATGTCTCTGTATTTTTGCAGCACCCTCAAGCCCAGAACCTTTAGCAGCACCCTTCCTTTATACTTCGAGTAAACTGCGACAATTGTTTTATATGTTGTTATTATTGCTTTTTAATATGTTTTGCATCCATTTTTCTAAAGTCTTTACTCTTCTTTTTTTAGAATTGATTTTTAAAATTCATTCGGTTTAAAATCAATAAATGTAATTTCAGTGCCGTTAAATACAATACAAAACGAGACAAATCAGCGTTTCTAAGTTGTTTCATATCCGTGTACACAATTTTGCAAGCACTTGGCCGCTTTCATTTAAATATACTTCTAAAAATGAAGAGTAGGTCTAAAACAATGGTAGCAGAAGGGATCGAACCACAGACCTCTCATATATAAGACAATTACTTAACCGACTGTGTATTGCGGATGTGACGAGGATCTTCACCTTGTGCTAGCGTGACTTTTCCAAACACTAATTATATATTCCATATTAATAATCGTAAACTATGCGGACATTATTCGAAGCTGGATCGAAAATTTAAATGAGTGCTATAATGTATTCATAATGCACAGGTCAATAAAATCAGTGCTATAATGTATTCATAATGCACAGGTCAATAAAATCAGTGCTATAATGTATCCTTAATGCACAGGTCAATAAAATCAGTGCTATAATGTATTCATAATGCACAGGTCAATAAAATCAGTGCTATAATGTATCCTTAATGCACAGGTCAATAAAAGCAGTGCTTTAATGTATTCATAATGCACAGGTCAATAAAAGCAGTGCTGTAATGTATTCATAATGCACACGTAAATAAAAGCAGTGCTATAATGTATTCATAATGCACAGGTCAATAAAATCAGACTATACCTGAAGCAGAAAATATAATATATATACATCTAAATATTCATAATCTTTCACTTCCTCAACAACGTGGTTATTTATGTAAAAGGAATATCTACTTTATTTATTGGTACCAAAGCAATGACTTTAGTTTTTCAACAATTTATAAAAAGCTTCCATTCGTAAAAATAGTCTAGGCTTGACTGAAATAAAGTTTCGTTTTTACCAAGGATAAATGTATGTACGCGTAAAGCAAAACAAGAATCTTTAAAAATCGTGTTACATATTA